ATACTGAGAAATTAACTTACAAAACACCTGCCCATCAAAAATGTAATCTGGAATTTTAGCCTAGATAATAAAACGAATAACATGTTTTTTAATGCTGATAATTTGCTTTAGTATAATAAACAAACCAAACAGCTCAATAGGTAGAGGCTCACTTAGGTTAGACATAGCTGATCTCAGAAAATAAGTCACTAAAACAACCTAACACAAAGCACACAGAGATAAACATCTCCCTTTAGCCAAGGCAACAACCTGACTGGATCCTTCCACCTTCCTCCTGTACGAGACTAAAAACACACCTTTGCTGTTTTCAATTGTAAATGACAGTGTTTTATCCAAGAAAGCACACATTTGCCCTTTATTATAGTTACCTTTGAAACAATATCTAATTTATTAGCTAGATTATACGGGAATAAAAAAGAAAATCTGAGACAAGCCTTTTGCCTGAGGAAAAGAATAGAAACTGAGACTAGTTTTAATTCTACTGGGACCGCACATGCTCAGTCAAGGCTTTTGCCAGCTCAGTGCCTCTAATGACATTTAAACAAAAAGTTTTAAAAACAGACAGCAAGATTTTCCAAAATCTGAAATCCCTTCCCAATCAAGTCAAAAGTATTAAATGAAAATCAATCAATCAATCAATCAATCACAGGGTGATTCCACCTCCTTATGCTTCTTTGCTACACAGTTTCTGTTAAGTTTTGCTCAAACGTGATCTTCAAACATTGTTTTGCTAAACACAACTTCGGCTGTGTTTACTTGAGGCTTGTTGGGAGGGGGTTGATGGAGAGTGATTGGTTGTTTTTTACTTTGTATCAGTAATTAATATCCAGTCTTAACAGAAACATTTATAAAACAAGTGATACAAAGTGTTACTAAAAAACATCAACGACCTGTTCACTCAAGCAGAAAGGAAATATTATGATACATTGGATTTTCCTCCAAAAAACCTTAAGTATAATAAGGCAATCAGCACCTCACAGTGGAGACTGATTTGGCAATTTTAATCAGACTGCCCCCCAGTACAGTCAGTGCTGCTGGGTGACACTTGAGATCTGAAGAGTGCATGTAAAAATAACCTCTGTTCAACAAGACATGACAAACACCAGACAGCTGAGTCACCTTTAAAACCAATTTTGATTTTCTGTATTAGAAGGGATTGTCAGAGAGGGGGGGGGAAGGATTAAAAATAAAGAAATCTGTCTGTAACATATATTTAATTGAATATTCTGTAAACTCCCAGCTTCCTTTTGATTGCTGTCATTGACTTTAACATCAATATATAGTGCTCAGTCTCTGGGAAACTTCAGCTTCACGTAGAGAAGCAACTTTAAATCAATTTTCAGCTCAATTTAAAACGACCAAGTTCTGAGCACCCGTTCCTTGCACTGCACTGACCATTACTATTTGTGAAGACTTCCAATAATCTCAGCAAAGTTACAAGTGTGAGGCCCCAGATCTGCCACTGAACACATGCAGTCCATGGAATCTGTAAAGGTTTTGCAGGACAGCTGGAACACCACGGAAAGTTTCCTGTGCACCCAACATCCCATTAACAGCCAACTAAACAAGCTAGTGGGGAAATACGACAAGCTCCTCCAAGTCCAGCTCCGTAACTTGAACCCTGAGGAAGAAAGTGTTTCAAGGGGACTTTTTCACCGGTTTTCAGGTTGAGCCTTTACCGTGGGAGCTTTCCTTGAGGTTTTAAAAAGGTGAATGAGCAGCGAGACGGTAGGGAAGCAAAACCATCGGCATCTGCCAGCCAAAACACACAAATGAGAATGTCAGCTACCGCCCCTTCTCACTAGCTCAGTGTGAAAGTACAAACGCGAGTTCCCGAGGGGAGCGGGGAGACCTCGGGCACCCAAAGCCCCTTTCCCAGCAGGCAGAAAAGTCCCCCCACCCAAAAAAAAAAAAATTAAAAAAAAGCAGAATTCCCATTTCCGCCCGCCTTTAGGAGAAAAACAAGCACACGAAGGAGCAGCGCAGGAGCCGGCAGGTGCTCAGGGTGGGGAGCCCCGCGGGGCAGGGCCCAGCGCCGAGACCCCGGCCCGGGGTGGGGGGGACGGGGGCAAACCTGGCAGCGGGGGAAGCCCCTGCGGGTGGGGG